GTGACCGTTTGACCTTGACCTCGTCGTCCAATCGATCCAGTAATGTACAGTAATATTCTTTATTGATAGTTTTACCATGTTCAAGATAATCAATGAATATTATGTTATGCGCATCCCAAAAAATACTGGCCAAAACCTTGCCGGCTGATTGTTGTGTCTTCGGGCGCTTCGGACGGCTTTCACCAGGCAATAACCACTCCGCTGACTGCCGATTGGACTCCGGTGGGTAGTGATGGATCCATGTTTCATCCATTGTGACAAATCGACGCAAAAACTCCTTCTTATTGCGGTTAAACAGGGCCAGATTTTGCTTTGAAAGTCGAACACGTTCCGCTTTTTGCTCAATTGTCAAAAAACGCGGCACTCAATGCGCGCAAAGCTTTTTCATGTGTAAATATTCATGAATGATATGACCAATGCGTTCCTTTAAGATGCCTATGATGTTAGCTAGCTCACTCAATTTCATTTTGCGGTCATTCAACACGATTTCACTGATTTTCTGGATGTTTTCTGGAGTAACTGCCTCATTTGGCCTTCCTGAACGTGGTGCATCATTTGTGCTCGTACGGTTACGACGAAACTCAGCAAACCAATATTTGATGGTTGAATTCGGTGGGGCAGATGTGCCGTAACATTTATCAAGCCATGCCTTTGCTTCAACAGTGTTTTTTCCCATCAGGAAGCAATGTTTAATCAAAACACGAAATCCACTTTTTTCCATAGTAAAGATAAATTCAGAGGTAACGTCACTTCGAAAGCTATAACTTGTACACGAGTCAACGAAATATCATGAAATTTTTACAGCATCTAAGTTAAGGTTGGTACTCTATAGGAAATATAAGGATTTTTAGTTTGTAGCGCCATCTATATGTCAGGCCAAAGACTTTTCAGCCCATGTAGTATTATAATATAGATTACGCACCGTTCGCCGTTTCCAAGAGATTATCAATTGATTTAAACATGTTCAATAAGAGCCCATTTTAGACGAGTAGAAAGAGCTCGTCTCACCACATCACGCATACTCATTCACCAATTCTCCTTTCTTAATAACTCGAAATTATACGTGGTTATTTGTAAAATGATACAAGATTTTTTTTTAGTCTCTATTTGCACACAAGCGAACGTGCGTATCGGATCAAACCAAATACATCCACAATATACGCTAGACTAATGACTCCTATTATTCTGTTTTGATATGCACTAATAAATGTGTAAAATATGGAATGGATGCGCAGAATACAGACTTGCGACTCTAAACTTTTGAATTCAAATCTGTCGCGAAAACTAATAATTTTAACACTGCTGCAAAGAGATACATATAATCTGTAAATAATGTTTGCCATATATATTATATTATTCATTAGTATTTATGATAAGTTTGCAATAAACTAATGAATAATTTTTCATTAAGTTTCAAGTATTTATTTAGATCGCTTTATATTATAACATATTGCAGTAATAAATATACATAATAAATACACATTTTATATATTTATATATATAATATTTTTACCATGTTATTTTTTAATTATATGCATTTTACGATTTTACATAGTATAAAATTTTCTCAAATTCATATTATCTGGATAACATATAGAATATAGTAAAACATATAGAAATACATAAAATAATATTTACTACGCATACTTTGTTCGTATTCTGCGCATATCATATACACTTCTTAGCGACAGTTAAAGGGGTTAAAGGGGACAGTTATCAGTCCAGTGTATATTACAGATGTCTGTTTAGATCTTGTATATATTGCACCCGAATTAAAAGTTTTCTCCGTGCACATGTTCTCAACATATTTGATTTATATAACAGCACGGAATAAAGAAGGAAAACGGAGGAAAACGATAACATATTTTAAGGCAAGTCAAGTAACTAGGATCTCTTAGCGAATGACTGCTCCTCCTCTTGATTAGACGAAAAGTTTGATTAAGTCGTTGGTCTTGTTACTTCGCCGCGAAAACGATTTCAATGCTATGCAATCGCGAGTATGATAACGCAAATCCCACGTTATCTCATAGAATGTTATATTGAAGACGTAAATGCAACTTCTGATGTGCCGCCGAAAAATAGCAACAATATTTAAAGTCAAAATTATCCGCGCAAACAATCAATTTATTCGCTCTTCATTTGCCGTACAGTAATAAACCTGACAAGAGACATATATACACATATATCATGTGCGCGAAATCCATATATCTATTTATCATTAACGTCTGATTCGTTTATTTGCGAATACACATTCGCATATCCTGCAATTTTTCTTTGCAAATGCAAATACTATGATTATACGCCGCGATATTCGATGAAATCAATGTCAGATAACACAAGATGTCTTAAAGTCATCCAGGATATGTCACATACATCTTGGATATACTGAGGAGTGTCCTAGGACGTCATGAGCTTATTCAATAAGATGATCTCAGAACATTTTGTGCTACCTGGGATTAATGTTTGTTGAGAAAGAAAACTGAATAAATGAAGAAAGGCATTGAACATGAAATAAAGACTTATTGCGAGGGAAATCTGAAGGAATTCCTTTCATAGAAACCGTGTTAGAAATCTTCGAACACTTAACGTTTAATAGCCATAGCATCTGTTCATTCTTTTTGTCTTTTGACATAAGTCACTGATTGTCAGGACTAAGTATTACACTTACATGTTGTTTCAATTATCAATTAATATGTATATACTTGTTTAAAAACATAATAGTTACTTACCCGCCGATGAATCGTTGTAAGTTTACAACATGCGTAAAATTGACATGTGCGTTAAAATGAGAGTCAGAAAGTGACGAGTAAAATACAAGTAGTAGCGAACAGCAACAGTTATCGGTGCATCGAGACGACGTGATGAAAAATATAGTAAAATGTTATAAGACCACACGAAAGTTTCTTTACAGTAGATAATCTTTAGCACGATATAATTAACGATATTTTAATCGCGTGTGTATCATGTGTATTATTTTCTCCTTCATTTCCGTTCTATATTATGCTATTTTGCCCTTTATTATTGGATGCATTCATTAAAGGATAGGTATTATCCTTTGTCTGAGTAGTTATCCGTTTACATTCTTCACGATGCCTGACTCAGCAAGGTAGCAATGACTAAATTTAATTCGCGATAAAGAAATTATGCAAAAAAGAAAATGGAGATATCGTGCAGTTTGTCGTAAAATTTGTTGTTTCAGAACTTATCGCGGAGTATGTCATGTAAAAGCCGTGAAGATACTTATTAGACAACGGCATAAGCGGGACATAATATAATAATTGCAGAGCCCGATTTGTAGAAAGATTCCCCGCAGTGGTGGACTGATACTTTTGCGATAATGCTGAAAGAATAATTTTGTCAAAATGTATGTATCTTACTTTCACTACTTATATACCTAGAAAATATATGTACATACTTGTATATACATACATGTCCATCATAACGGTATTCATCAGTTTTTAGTAATTATAATAATCAGATAAAGAAAAGTTACAGATGAAATTAATCAGTTCTTAATCAACAATAAGATATAATGATAAAAATATCCTATATACATATTCTTTTCCTCTTTTTCTTAAAAGTAATTTTATTATAAATGTAAAATAATCTTATGGACAGAAAAGTACGATGATGTCATGAATATTCTGATACAATATCGAAAATTACTCATTTTTTCGTTTATTTTAGCTCAACATGTTTAGACCTCGAGGTCCACAAAAACCGACACTGATGTTCAATGTCAACTGAAGACATTGAACATCAATGTCGATTTTTGTAGATCTCGAGATCTAAGAGGCACTATTAGAGTCCATTAATAGGGATACTATTAGAGAGTTAAAAGATACGATTTCGGACTTATTACGAAAAAATGTGGTGTATCGTATTCATTGCAAGGAATGTAATGCGTGTTGCACAGGACAAACAAGTAGATCAATATTTTTATGCATGTAATTGGTACAAAAGAATCGATTGTCGAAAGTCCATAATTGTGTATAACATAAAAATGTACGTAAGATTTAAAGAAAATGCAGTCACACATTGCATTTACATGAATGCACATGTGCAAAGAATAGACATATTAATTAATTTTTCGTCATTTTACAAATAAAAGTATTAAGATAAAACCAACGAAATGTAAATAATATATGACATTTTATCTTTTATATCAGAACACGTATTATGTAAATATGTTTTGTTTCATTTTTCATGTTATGATTTTATCATTCATTGAATTCATGTCTCTTACAATATCAGAAAAGGAATAATATAATTGTATTAAAAAAGATTCACGGTAACTTTAACTGTTTTAAGGAAAAAAAGACGTTTTGGAAATTTTTATTATTGTAGCTTACAACTTTAATATCCGTTTAACTCCATCTGTAGCATCATTATCCATCAAATTATTGTAAATACTTTCAAAACGGATATACTGTTATTGATATAGATAAATGTACATTCAAATGCATATTTTTTTTACTGCTCTTATGTATTTAAGGATGAAATTTTTACAATAAACAAGAGAAGACTCCTTTGAGACGTAAAAAGGATGATATTTTTCCTAGTAAACACAATTCGAGGAGTACTTTGTGACTGAGGTTACCTGCGGAACAAAATCCACCACTGACGCGAGAACCTGCTAAGCTCGTAATACGAGTGACCTGCGTCCAAGTACAAAATCTACACATTAAGGACAAAATATAAGAGGATTGCGAAATCGTTCCTTTTACCTCCGAATCTTTCTACTGTAGTCAGATAGAGAATTATTTAATATCCCACGTAAATACGGCGAAGGCTGTTTCTGTAATTAACTGATCCAAAAAACTGACAATCGACATTAATTAATACTCATTGGATCTTATTGTTAGCAGGTAAAATAATAAGTTTCGTGGGAGAAGGATCGTCAGCTTTCTGAATCATTGAAGGTCACTAAACGCTTCAGCTCATTTTGTACGTAGATTAAAATGTAAAATGCTATGTATACTAAGTAGCGGAACACTCACATAGACCTCTTCCCATTGCGAGACATACCGCACCAGTCTTGACAAGCGTAGTAATCTAACGAGTGACAACAGTTTTGCAAGCCTAAGAATCCTGAGAGCGCGTCCAGCATGTAGAATCTGGAAGGATTCGCTGAAGTCCTGAAACTATAAGTATTTTATTTTTGTTATTACCCTTTCGTTACCGGTATATATTTTATATTTACTTTTTATTTATTTTCATAAACAATCGTAAGTAAATAGCACACGGCGAACATAAATATATAACAACTTTCACTAACTTGAAATAATTTTATGATAAAACGAAAAATATTAATATTATACTATGCAACATACAAGGTATCGCAATTAAAATATTATAAACTGTTTTATTGAAAAATATTAAAAATAATGATTTTTTATTCAGTTGAGAATTCAATCACATGTGCGACCACTAGAGTTTATCAAATTTTTCAACAATTTCATTAAAGAAAGAAGCTATACTTTGAATCAATTGTTGCAGATATGTTAACTCAATATTCGGTTAGTAGCTAAAAAATTGTTTTAAAAAGTTTCTAGAAAAGTTTGTAGAAAAATTGTATCTTAAAATATGCGCGTAAAATCGTACTAGCGAGCTACGAGATATATGATCGTATATGATATAAACCGTCTACTTACTTGATTAAATATAAGGAAAATGTAGTCTAACGGTATGGAGGAGATGAGGTCGAGAAAGAACCAAGTTCTTAAGTAGTGTTTTGCGATTAACTTCGGATCCAATATTACTTGCTCGGCATTATCTTGCTGCATTATACCTGTAACGAAAGAACAGCAATTTACTCAGAACAACATTTAAATGCTAATATTATTGCTTCCAGCTCTGACAATTCGCTATTATGCTTCGATAATTTATTACATTGTAGCACTCGCTATGTCCCATTATGCATATTACGCATTGTACGTGCATAACATATAGGACGTATTATTAATAATAACTGGGACAATATAACAAATAATTTGGGAGAAATATCCAATGAGTATAATCGATAAATCTATTTTAAATAAATGAGAGAGGGAAGCAATTATTATAAAGGGAAAAATTATTGTCTTCATGTTACGCACAAAATAAAAACAAATAGAATAATAGATAATAGTTAATTTTGTAGTTATCGACGATATGTGCACGACGATATAATGCAATGATTCTCATCGGCCGCAGCTCGCTGACCTAATTTCACCGCGTTTGTGGGACTGATTCAAACACGTTTCAAATTAATCCCCAGGTAATAACGAAATGTCAAGGAGTTAGAAGTATTCTCCGCTGTGCAACCATACTGTCATTGTGTACTGTCGAGATCGGTAAGGGCGAGGGTACAAGTAGACGATTCATTCTGCATCGCGCATCTGTTCTCATCCGAGATTTCGTTGACATCTTATATCCCCGTCGTAGTGACAATGAGCAACGCAGTGACAAAAGGAAGTAAATATTTCTTCAAATCCAAATTCGCGAAAAATCACAGGAATTTTTTAAGAAAAATAAAAGTTACACCCGTTTTATTTTTTAAGATAAAAATTAATTAAATCAATCAAAAAGTTAAATTTATTTAGATTTTTTAGAAAAATTTACTTTGTCTCATTCTTTAGAAACGTATTATTCATCAATAATTAATTGCTATTGTTGTCTGTCACCCTTTATCAACGTTCTAATAGCATTAGAAAGTTAACTATTAAAGAAGACAGAATTAGATTTTGGCATTGATTAAATATAACTTTTAGCATTATAAAGAAAAAAAGGAAAAGTGGAAATAATAAAATATACTAAACACTTAAAGTTTAATAAGAATTTCTAACATTAAACAGTTATACGCAGAATAGAAAAATAGTGTACGAAAAAAATAAAATTTCTCAAATTCAAAAAAAAATTCTTGTTAACAGAATTACTCAATAAAATAAGTAGAATTGATATAGCTTCGTTTGTACCTCCGTATATCTGTTTAAAATCCAGACAAAATTTACTTTTTACAAGGAAAGGGTCGGAACTCCTTACCGATTTTGATGAGCTTTGGATATGTTGTAGAGCAACAAAAGATATTAGACACATTTTTTTATGGGATATCCCAAGGTTTAGAGAGTGAAACAACCCCTCAAAAAACCCAACATTTTCATTTTTTGCGAATATCTTCTAAAGTACGAGGTATATGAAAAAATGTTTCCTACAAAAGTTTTACAGTACTTTATACTGTTGCAACGGTACTGCAACTATATTTAGATTTTTCAAAAGTGACAAAATTTTCAACCTCCCCCCTATCCCTTTAATTTTGCAAAATTAAAAAATTTCACGAGGACAAAAATTAAAGAGCATTTAATGCCAAGTCGATCTATATATTATGAATTATTTTAGACAAATTGAGGTGTGCCTATATCTATTTGAAAACGCCTTAAACCTTGCAATCAAATTTTTGAAAATTTAATTTAAAAATCATACGTTATTTAAAAGAGTCATGTTAAGGTTACACAACTTAATTCTTTTTAATTTGGGGTATATTAAAGAGAAGATGCTTGAAAATGTATCTCGGTTTCAAATGTGAAAAAAAGTATTAAAGGTATATAATGAAATAAATAAATAATAAAATTAAATTAAATTAAAAATTTTGATATTCTTTTTTCTACCTAGTTATATTATATTTCGAATAGAATGAAATTTATTTGTGAACATCTGGCAAATGTTGCGAACGGTATAGAATTTATTATATCATACCGACTTATTGTTTATTTTTTAACGAGAAAAATTCTTTATTAATTTTATTAACTTCATTAACTTTTAATATCTTTTCCATCTCTTGATAACAAGCGTAAAAGAATGATAAAAAAGTGTTAAAAGATATAGAAAGAAATATAAACTTGTCTTAATTCCTAAAATGTTATATAAATACAGAAGTAATTTTAACAATAATTCTCAATATTATATGACAACAGATTTTGTTGAAATTACTTTTTATCTAAAATCTACATATTTATTTTTCTTATAAACTTGTTATCAAAAAATTGTTTAAAAATACTTTAAATATTCTAACTTTAATGACTTTCATAATTATGGAATCCTTGAGGCTTTTTTAAAAGTATGTCTAAAGCCAAAATGAAGGTCAAAGTCAAGATTGAAGATTTTTGAAAAAAACTGGATTTTATAAACTAAATAATTTCCTACAACAATTTATTACAGTATATTTATCATTTTAGTTTGAATGCACTTTATTGTATAGTTTAAATGTTTGCAACTTTTGATAGAAGTATTTTTTAAAGAAATGTTCCAGATAAAATTTACTTGTTTCTTCCCGTAGAATTCAAATGTATCACATTTTATAGGAGGTTCCGTTTGAAATTACGAAGTTACCCCTAACCCCCCTTTAGAAGAGAGCGAAGGCGGAATTTTGTTTATATAGTTAGAAAGGCTCGAATACATGAAACTTTGTCATAAAACAATTTTGTGATATGACAAATATTTTTAGAGTTTTTGGGTTGTCACATTTTATGTGAGCCATTCTGTATTTATACATAAGCAAATTTTCAATATTTTGTTACAGATCCCAATGGAAATTATGATAGAAATAGTGCGAATTATATGATAAATCGCATAAATTGCTTACCCGTCCTGAAGTTGACAACGATGTCTATAAGAAATATTGTGTCGGAAAGGCAGTTGAAGGCTATCCATCTAGTGCTTAGGTCGTCATTGAAAAAACTAATGGCGACTGGCAGAATTATCAGATTAGCTACCAATAAGAGGAGCATACAGAGGTCCCAGTAGAATCTGAAATAAAAAACAAAGTAGTAATTATTATATAATATATAAGTTTATGAAAGTGGGAATTAATATCCCTCTCTCGCACACGTACGTACGCATACACAGAAAATAATTATACATATACGCGCGCACACAGATACGTACACACACAACATACATGATTTTGAAATTTCCAAAAGTCATCAAATAAACAAAACTTAGGGCATTGTTGTAATATTCTGGAGATTAAACGGAGCAAAAAAGACTTGTATTATTTTTTCTTTTGATAAATAGTTACCGAGATATTGTAAACCAAATATCGAAAAAGTTACTAAGTTTTTCTTAAATATTTCAAAAAATATTAGGCAAATAAAAAACTTTCAGAAAAATGTTCAAATTAATTGGTAGAAAAAGATAATATAATAAAAAATGGTGGTTTTTATTTAAAAAATTCAAAGTGCCCTCGTAACTTTGATGTTTAAGATTATACTAATATTATTACATGATACGTCAATTAGAATCTTCCAACTTCTATATTTAGGCTTCTTTCTTTCTTACATATTTTCAAAGTTATTCCGGGTTCCGACCCTTTTTCACCTGTATACAGGGTGTCTCAGAACTTTGGCACACGGGCTCCGTGGGGACATAGAGCTAAGTGAGAGGAACAAAAAAGTCCTCTACCATAATGTGAAAATCGTAACAGTTTTTTAATTATAACAGCGCAAAGTTAGGCGTTTTCCACGCCTAGCGCGGCCTATAGACGCTCCGCGGCAAGCTGTGTGCGTAGCTGAGTCACGCTACTGTCACGATGGCGTCTTGGCGCTTTGACGCCGCGCGACGGTTAGCGCGAGCCGCGTTAATGCTCAGCCCCCACGCACACAGCTTGCCGCAGAGCGTCTATAGGCCGCGCTGAACGCTGGAAAACGCCTAACTTTGCACTGTTATAATTAAAAAACTATTACGATTTTCACATTATGGTAGAGGAGTTTTTTGTTCCTCTCACTTAGCTCTATGTCCCCACGGAGCCCGTATGCCAAAGTTCTGAGACACCCTGTATACTCCTTCTTGTATATGCATACATATACAGGGTGTCCAGTTTTAAAGTTTACAATGCTATATTTTGTAAACCGATGATTTTATTGAAAAATATTTCAAACAAAAGTTGTAAGGTTCAGAGGGAGACATCTGACGGTGACCTCGGCTTGATCTTGAATTGTCGTTTGAAGGTCACGTAAAGATCAACTTTAAAATCCTAAATGGAACCCCTCATTTTTATTGCATATTCTAGTTGCCCTTGTCGAGACGTTTTCAGAACACTGCCTACTTTTGTCTTTTGCGTAAGTTATTCCCAAGATATGAAGTTTCAAAGTTGACATACCGCCGGCATTCGCATTACCCGATGTGCACCGCGGGGCGGGTGCTCGGTCGGATATGTACGTCATAGTAGCCCTTAAAAAAGGCTGATTTTGTGTGTGTGTGTGTGTGTGTGTGTGAGGGGGGAAGGGGCTCATTCATTATCATCGTATCTTCACTGGGGATGAAAAATGGATTTATTTTGACAACCCCAAACGTCGAAAAACTATTTGCGATCCCGGCCAATCCTCAACATCGACGCCAAAACGGAATATCCACGGAAAGAAGGCAATGCTCTGTATTTGGTGGGATCAGATGGGTGTGCTGTACCATGAGCTGCTGAAAAGTGGTCAAACAGACACAGGGAATCTCTACAGAAAACAAATGATCCGTTTGAGCCGAGCATTGCGCGAAAAACGACGAGAATATGAAACGCATATGACAGCATAAAGTGATTTTGCTTCATGACAACGCTCGGCCTCACGTCACAAAATCTGTCAAAGAAACTGTCAAGAAGCACTTCGCTGGAAAGTGTTACCCCATGCGGCTTATTCACCAGACGGTGCCCCTTCCGACTACCACTTGTTTCGGTCGATGGCACGCGCACTTGCTGAGGAATGCTTCAATTCTTATGAAAACGTCGAAAAATGGGTCTCTGACTGGGTAGTCTCCAAAGATGAGTCATCCTTTCGCCGCGGAATTCGCTTGCTGACCGAAAGATGGGAAGAAGTCATCACTAACGATGGATAATACTTTGATTGATGTACTTTTTCATTTTGTTTTTTAAATAAGAGCCATACGTTTTGCAAGAAAACGGACGGAACTTTCCGATTGACCTAATACAATCATTATCGTCACTTTCTAAATCGCGCAGTTGTACCGTTTTGTTTGTTATCCTTATTTTAATAAACTTGTTAATAATCTATTTTCCATTAATTGATTTCAAAATCACCCCACCTTCCAACAGTTGATTCATGGTCCTATCCCCGGAAAAGGGATTCGCGTCCCTGACCGAAGAACGGACCACTCGTCGTACGTCAGCGAGCGAGTAAAGGGACCCGTCGGGTTCCTGACCCGCTCCCTGGCACGCGTGTACGAACGGGATTCGCCTTTCCTGCGAACAGAAAAGTTGCGCTCCTCTTCTAGGACGTAACAGTTACTTTCGAGAAGTTATTTTAAGTCTCGTTTCAAACTTCGTTAAATAATTGTGTAGAATGTTATATTTGAAATTTGAGAAAGTATATATAAAAAGCGTATATAAATAATAAAGTTATGTGCAAAATATACCTAATACGAGCGTTCACATTATTTTAAGAAATTGGTATCTTATTTCATAAGTCTATAGCATCAACATTGCTACTTTAACAACAAGTTACTTTAGTAAGTATACACACGGCTTCATCAGTGTCTGAACATTTATTACATCGAGAATAGGTATTTTCGGTTTGATCCATTCGTTTTTACACGTATCAAGACTGTTGATTATCTAAGAAATTGACAACGATATTCCAAAACAGACGTGAAAGCTTGACAATTTTAAGTTCAATTTGCGTAAAGTAACGTTTTATTCATCCCGATGTAAGGAAGCATTAATAAGAAAATTATAAAATTTAGAAGTCATGGTGAATGTGATGTGAAATGAAATGCGTCTTGCCATAAATGTCGAATACTAGTCAAATTCTCGACTTAGTAAACGTCCAAGCATTAATGAAGCGGTATGTACGAGGGTAGTTCGAAAAGTTCTCGGCCTAACACGGAGATAGCGTCAGGAATATCAACTGGCTATGATTTTTCTCAAGTTTGATCCTCTAGAGGGCCTACCGTAACGTTACAGACAGATGCCTTCAGTCGTTCGCTTGTTGTGATCGAGGAAAGCAAGCAAGATTTGGTGTTTCTCGAAAAATGGATAAAGTCGAGTATCGCGCAGTGATAAAGTACTTCGTTTTGAAAGGTTTAACGCCAACGGAAATAAAAGACGAGCTGGATTACACTTTGCGAGACTCTTCACCATCGTTTTCAACAGTGAAGAAATGGGCTGCTGAATTCAAACATGGTCGTTCGTCCATTTATAACGCTGAACGTTCAGATTGCCCAAAAACCGCTACGTTCACAAATATGATGTAGCAACTTGTGAATATCATTGGATAACATATGAATAGAAGAGATTCCTATATAATACTTTTAAAAACCAAGTGAAATTAACTGTGTGGATATTGACAAAATTGGAATCACATTTGGCAGTTGGAGAAGGATTCAGCTTTAAGTTATTTCTATTTTTGCATAGACTTTCATTTCCGTTATATTATACTCCACACCGTCAATTATATAGTTTTCTTTTTCTGAATGCCATATTTTTATACAAATAAAACTGCTATGTAATTACATTAATACTATTTTTAATCTGTATAATACTGTATTTAAATATAGCTGTAAAGTGTGAGAAACAACTTGTTATTCTGTTATAGCTTTCTATTTCTATACGTCCGGAAAATTCCGTGCAGTTAAAAGCCTAATCACGATAGCATAACTAAAGGTATTTGGTGAACTTCAGTCCGAGTCGGAAAACACTGATACCAAGTATATTATCACGGGACGCGATAGCTGTAGAATCTCTGGAAATTTCGATGCTCCGAAATGTTTTAATAAAATTCCGGAACTAGGTACAGGTAACAATGCCTCTCTCTGTAGTCGCTGTGCGCTCGGGATAGCACTAGAGATGTCGCTTCCGAACGACATCTCTTAACGTTATCTAGGGACAGGTGAGTGTCGTGAGCGTGGAGCATCAGGTAGCTCAGTGGTCTAGAGCAGTCGCCCGGCAAGCGAAAGACTCGGGGTTCTCGATTCCCGGTCTAGCGACTACCGCGCTCTCGATATTTTTCTCTCTTCGGAACGAAAATAAGATGCAGGCCCCGAACGCCACGGCGTCCCGTCGCCACCTATAGTACGCCCTCCTTCTTTCATGGTAATTCCAATCAATTCAGATTTTGTCTTCCACTCAGCGCTTAGTCAACGATAACAATACCACAAACATCCTTCCTAATCATAATCTAATCCAACTATTCCTTAACTTATCATTAGGTAACGTGAGTACAAATACCGATGTTTCCTTCTTAAAAGTTTGTTGCTTCATTTTTTCGTGAGAACTAAATTTTCTCCAAATTTTCTTATCGCCATATGTACGTACCTATACCTTATGTACCCTATCTATTACAATATTTATCTTCGAGATATTGCAACGTACCCTGAAACCCCACTTTTAAAATACCTTCGTAGCACAGTCCTATGACTATATTTAGGCATAAAATTTAGATTTCTGATACAACTTTTCGAACCCCTCTCACTTATCCGAGCTAACGATTTGAGGTAAACCAAAAAGCTACGACACTTCTTGACAGTCTCGCAAGCAAGAAAAGATCAAAACCTTCACTCCCTTCTCGACAAGCTGAAACTTCTTACGTTTCTTCTTCTCAGTTTTGAATTTTTCTCTTCATACCCGCGACTTAGAATAAGTATGGTCAAGTGAACGAAACTCGGCCCCACCAGCACCAGGTTAGAAGGCCAACCTCCTACATAAGAGACAAATTGGATGACCAGTTCTTCTACTCAGGCCTATTGCCGTTTCTGTATCTCCTTCAGGGCAGCATCTAACTTTCCAGATCAGTGAGTCATTTCAT